CACCTCACTTATCAAGTCAACGTGACCACATCATGTGACCGTAGCTATAGCTAGCCTTCGATCTGATAAAACCTACCGGACGGAGCGCGCGGAAGCCTGCAAGGAATCCTTCTGCAATCAGCCATCCATCTTACACGTGACATGTCACTCGCACAAATTGCCAGAGAGATCTACGGTCCCCTTGGCCACAACATCGTTTAAGCTTTTTATGATTGAGCTTCACCAATATTACAACATGCCCCCTCCTAGTGCTTACAACCTCCTTGGTTTGGAACGATAACAAAAAGAGGGCGGTGAGAGCCCTCACTGAGTTTTTATTGACGCACACGAAAAATTTACGGAACCCTAGCGATAAACAGCTTCGCTGTAAAAACAAGACAGTCAAAAGTTACAGAACCTATTTTTAAGCCACACAGTGTTCTTCGGCAACACAATTATTGAAACGTGCAAAAACGAGAAGAAAACTAATTAGAACTGATATGTATATTTCTCTTCGCTTTAAATTTTTAAGCAAATCAAGAAAAAAGGGACATATGACATAAACTAGAAAGCATTCAAAATAAAACATTCCATCATATTCTTAATTCCTACTGGATGACGATTATGTCAGTTCCAACAGAAAACTCAAAACCTATAAAAAAATGCTTTAAATGCCCGAATCCCCTCGATGTGTTTGTATGACAGATTTCCCTTGCACTAAAATGCGAACTTACGAGCAAACCTGCAGCAGATAAACTGCTTCTAAGAACAGGCTTTCGCATTTTGTCTCGGGACAAAGCGTTGTGCACCTACTTTTTCCACAAAGCAGTTGGAAGAGTCAATCGCAGCCATGTAAGATGCACGACGCAAGAAACATATTTATATGCCACTAGTCGCCGGGAAGGAGGCGCGGACAGATCGTGTTCGGATCTAGCCTCGAACAAGGGCTAGTTCGTTTCGCGCGAACGTAGAGGGCGCTCCGACCTAGAGGCACATAAAGCCCCTCGATATGTTTTCGTTTGTCTTTGCAAGTAGCGCCAAATGCGCGAGCGCACGTGGCCCAGGTCTCGAGCGGCCCTTGGAAGCAAATGGCGGCGCAGCACTGAAATGGGCGGCCCTTGGAAGCGAATGGCGGCGGAGCACCCGCTCGTGGCACGTGTCTTGCGCATTTCCATAACAATGGTTGGCGGTACTTGTGAAAACACCTTTATCAAGGGACTTTAGAGGCACAGAGTGAAATAGAAGATGGAGAGAAGACCTAGCAGCGCACGACGTGCATGCGACGTGCAGCCTTTGGAAACAAATGGCGGTGGTGCACTAAAATTAGCAACCTTTGGAAGCGAATGGGAGTGGAGTGCTCGCTCGTGACACACATGCGCGTTCCCACAACAATGGTTGGCGGTACTTGTAAGAAACGCCATGCGTAAATTTTATTAAGCGTCTTTAGTGAAACACAGTCAAATAAAAAAGAGGCAGAAGAGGCTCACCCACGAAGGTGAGCAGATATCTAAGGAAGAAAATATTAATGCTGATATAATGAAAAAGAAGCGTTGACATATTGGGGAAGAAGCGGATAGATAGCCCCCGTGATCCTGGCGCCATCTATCCGCGTTCAAGAAAAGCGCCAGGCGCGCCGAACATAATCAGGACATGTTTAGGGGTTAAAAGCGCTAAAAACGACGGACGAGTAGGAGAGACACACACCACAGAGCGCTCTGTGGTGTGTGTCTCTCCTACTGGTTCGTCGTTTTTAGCGCTTTTAAGCCCTAAACATGTTCAACCAACTAGCCCAAATCCAAACCCTTCTGCATAATCAGGACTCTCTGTCGAATTGAGTGGCATCATCTAAACGTGTTTCTTGAATCACGCTAGAGAGAAAGCTCGGCAAATGGGAGACTGAGTCCGCGCTCTGACACTGAGCAGGATGTTTTCCATTTTTGCGTCAAGCTAAGTGTGTAGCACGGTGCAAGAAAGGACTTTAGGTGATGACACTTACCACTCTCCTCGTCAGGCGAGCGCGGTCACATAATAGGGAGTTTTAGTAGACCGTGTTTCCCCCTCCGCTAAGCCCCTCCGCTACCCGGAACTCTACAGCCAAGGCCATCGGCGCGCAGGCGCAGTGGCGGTTTCTTCGTAGCGGAGAGCTAGCGGAGGGGGAAACACGGTCTACTAAAACTTGCTAATGTTCGGGGATATCCTCGAACCGCGGTGCAAGAAGGACTGTGTGCCTCGAACGCAGACACCGTCGACTTAGGGGGCGCTGCGAGATCGGGTGCCCAATAGGGAGGCTGTAGTGAGGGTGGGCGCAACTCAAAACCTGGAGAGCGTTTGCAATTTAAAGGAGCTGTGCAACGATATTCAATTGGAATGTTTTTCCCTCTACACGAGCTTACTGGCATACCTGGGACTCAAGGATACTCGCACGCAACGCCATTGACCTAAAACTCCTTTGTTGCGGTGTAATTTCAAGAACAAAAGCGATAATTTTCATTCAATCTCTCCTTTGCAAAATTTGATGACGTAACTCGGGGATCGCAGTACACCCAAGTGACGATATTTGAATGCGGTTCATAGATTGAACCCGAGCATTGCGCGGGCACTCGACTTGGGCTCGTGACAATTGCTAGCTCGAGAAGCATTCGGGCTGTGACCCGTGTCCAATCGCTGCAACGACGACAACAGCCGAGCCATAACAATGTCTGGAACTCAGCGCGTGTCCTGCGCTTTGCCAACCCCAGCGCGTGGCTATGATCAACACTGGCGGCATATAATCGGCTCCAGATCGCGTGGCCGCTTGTTCTGGCTGCGAGTTGAGGGGGTGAACGCTGCTCGTTTTTCTTAATTTTTTTTTCTGGGACTTCTATTGGGTGGAGTGAAAAACGAACGCGTGTTTCATAGGTCATTAACGTTAGGGATCCGTTTTATGCGGTATTTGTGCACAATACAAAAATTGTTGCACAGCTCCTTTAATGGCGGCGCCTGAGGGAGAGGATTCGAGAAAGGATATGCACCAGTGTTGCCTGCACGAGAGCAGGCGCCCGCTCTGTTGCAACTCTGTTGCTCCATGCGCCTTTCCTCCTCTCGCCTCCCATTGCAAGCAACGAGCGCCTTGGCGCAGCCTCTCTCGCTTCCTTCTCGCTCCGAGAATTGCAAACGTCGAGCGGAGAAAGCAAAGTTGCCAGACAAGCAGCAACGTCCAAGATGGCGGAATTTAACATTTTTCGCGTTAAAAAAATACTTAACCTATCGCAACAAAACTGGTGGCTATGGAAAAGTAATCATTTATACCTTGTGTAAATTATTCAAGCACCTTAATGGGCATTTATGACCCGAGTTAGGAGAGAAAACGACCCTTTGCCCCATAGACTCCCAGCAAAATTTAGCAATTAAATGGCGTCCATGTCCCGTGATCGCCGATCTAGCAGTTGCACCCACCCTCACTTGAGCCTCCCTAGTGCCCAAAACCGCGGACTCAGTATGCCGTGGTATGCCGCGTACGTTGACGATGTGACATGTAACTGTGGTGGGACCGTTTTCAGTGGGGTTTGTTTTCATTCGAGGGGCTGAGAATATCGTCCTCGAAGTTAAAAAAGTGCTACGTGCGTAGCTCGAGGTAGCGGCGACGATAGAAACGGGGAACGGAGCTACGGTGGACGTTTCGGAGGTACGTAGGTAGTTGCCGCTATGTCGTAAAATGGGCAAGCATTGTTTTGTTCCGAATTGCAATTCGGGCTACCGGTCGTGTGCGGAGACTGTGTCCGTGTTCAGAGCTCCTTCGGATCCTGCTCGCCTGGAAAAGTGGCGCCGTGCAATCCCGAGAGCTGATCGGATACTGCTGTCTAGTGGCCATGTCTGCGCGAAGCATTTTCCTCCCGAGATGGTGTCAAGATCGTATTACGGAGAGTTGGACGGTAAAGTTCTTCTGGATGCCCCAAAGAAGCCCGTGCTGTCAGTGGACGCTGTACCCAGCATTTTTCCGGGCTGCCCAACGTACCTAACAAGACACAAGAAGCCCAGAAAACCACCTCGAAGAAGAGTACCTGCTACGACGAGCGTTTGTAAACGACATCATTCGAAGTCATCTGTCACTAATCTGTCCTTGGAGTCCAGCCGGGCTTCCTCAAACAGTGCCGGGTCGCCAGCGGAAGTGGTGTACCCTGAACATGATGATCCACAAACAGCGGGATCGTATAAAAGACCACGCCTTGATTTCAGCAGTACTGCGTCACCCGTACTGTGTCCTGAGCGTGATGATCCCCGAGCAGCAACAGAGTCGTGTGAGAGACGACACCTTAATCCCAGCTGCGTTGCATCACCCGTGGTGTATCCTGAACATGGTGATCCTGAAGCAGGAGGAGGACATTGTGGGGGAATTCACCAAGATGTTGCAAAGGTAAACTTTGTTGTGGAATTTTTATAGTGAATGTCCTTAGTTTAATGCCTTTTATATAGCAATCATGGAAACAACTGACCACTCAAATACTTGCCTTCAGTGTTTACTGTTCTCTCGCAGCACCCTAAATTACCTTTAGTATCATTCCTTTATGACCAGTAGCATTGATATTCCAGTCACCAGCACCTGTAATTGGAATCTGGATGCAGTAAATGAGTTGCATAGTGCACTACTTTGGTTTTACTTTTAATGGAGGAAGCAACGCTGGATGTGAAGCGCCCTGTTCTTTTACCACGCAGGTTGACTGCTCGAGCCGTGGTTCCCTGGAACACGAACAGTGTTTGGGAACGCCATACCGTGCTGCATCGACGGACAAGCAGCCTCCCGTACCGACTGATTGCGGCTAGGTAAGAGAGGATCACCGCACCTTTTCACTTTGTTGCTTCTGATAGTGGAACCGTTTCTCAACTCTAAGCGCCCTGTTCTTCTGATAGTGGAACCGTCTTTTAACTCTAAGCGCCCTGTTCTTTTACCATACAGGCTGACTGCTCGAGCAGTGGTTCCATGGGACACAAACAGTGTTTGGGAGCGCCTTGTCACGCTCGACCGACAGACAAGCAGCCTCTCGCACTGACTGATTGCGGCCAGGTAAGAGGGGACCACCGCACCTTTTCACTTTGTTGCTTCTGATAGTGGAACCGTCTCTCAACTTGAAGCGCCCTGTTCTTTTACCACACAGGTTGACTGCTCGTGCCATGGTTCCCTGAAACACCAACAGTGTTCGGGAACGCCATGTCATGCTGCACCGACGGACAAGCAGCCTCCCACACTGACTGATTGCGGGCAGGTAAGAGGTGACCACCACACCTTTTCACTTTGTTGCTTCTGATAGTGAAACCGTCTCTCAACTCGAAGCGCCCTGTTCTTTTACCACGCAGGTTGACTGCTCGAGCCATGGTTCCCTGATACACCAACAGTGTTCGGGAACGCCGTGTCATGCTGCACCGACGGACAAGCAGCCTCCCACACTGACTGATTGCGGCCAGGTAAGAGGGGACCACCGCACCTTTTCACTTTGTTGCTGCTGATAGTGGAACCGTCTCTCAACTCGAAGCGCCCTGTTCTTTTACCACGTAGGTTGACTGCTCGAGCCATGGTTCCCTTAAACACCAACAGTGTGCGGGAACGCCGTGTCATGCTGCACCGACGGACAAGCAGCCTCCCACACTGACTGATTGCGGTCAGGTAAGAGGGGACCACCGCACCTTTTCATTTTGTTGCTTCTGATAGTGGAACCGTGTCTCAACTCGAAGCGCCCTGTTCTTTTACCACGCAGGTTGACTGCTCGAGCCATGGTTCCCTGATACACCAACAGTGTTCGGGAACGCCGTGTCATGCTGCACCGACGGACAAGCAGCCTCCCACACTGACTGATTGCGGCCAGGTAAGAGGGGACCACCGCACCTTTTCACTTTGTTGCTGCTGATAGTGGAACCGTCTCTCAACTTGAAGCGCCCTGTTCTTTTACCACACAGGTTGACTGCTCGTGCCATGGTTCCCTGAAACACCAACAGTGTTCGGGAACGCCATGTCATGCTGCACCGACGGACAAGCAGCCTCCCACACTGACTGATTGCGGGCAGGTAAGAGGGGACCACCGCACCTTTTCACTTTGTTGCTTCTGATAGTGGAACCGTCTCTCAACTCGAAGCGCCCTGTTCTTTTACCACGCAGGTTGACTGCTCAGGCCATGGTTCCCTGAAACACCAACAGTGTTCGGGAACGCCATGTCATGCTGCACCGACGGACAAGCAGCCTCCCACACTGACTGATTGCGGCCAGGTAAGAGGGGACCACCGCACCTTTTCACTTTGTTGCTTCTGATAGTGGAACCGTCTCTCAACTCGAAGCGCCCTGTTCTTTTACCACGCAGGTTGACTCCTCGAGCCATGGTTCCCTGAAGCACCAACAGTGTTCGGGAACGCCGTGTCATGCTGCACCGACGGACAAGCAGCCTCCCACACTTAGTGATTGCGGCCAGGTAAGAGGGGACCACCGCACCTTTTCACTTTGTTGCTTCTGATAGTGGAACCGTCTCTCAACTCAAAGCGCCCTGTTCTTTTACCACGCAGGTTGACTGCTCGAGCCATGGTTCCCTGAAACACCAACAGTGTTCGGGAACGCCGTGTCATGCTGCACCGACGGACAAACAGCCTCCCACACTGACTGATTGCGGCCAGGTAAGAGGGGACCACCGCACCTTTTCACTTTGTTGCTGCTGATAGTGGAACCGTCTCTCAACTCGAAGCGCCCTGTTCTTTTACCACGCAGGTTGACTGCTCGAGCCATGGTTCCCTGAAACACCAACAGTGTTCGGGAACGGCATGTCATGCTGCACCGACGGACAAGCAGCCTCCCACACTGACTGATTGCGGGCAGGTAAGAGGGGACCACCGCACCTTTTCACTTTGTTGCTGCTGATAGTGGAACCGTCTCTCAACTTGAAGCGCCCTGTTCTTTTACCAGACAGGTTGACTGCTCGTGCCATGGTTCCCTGAAACACCAACAGTGTTCGGGAACGCCATGTCATGCTGCACCGACGGACAAGCAGCCTCCCACACTGACTGATTGCGGCCAGGTAAGAGGGGACCACCGCACCTTTTCACTTTGTTGCTTCTGATAGTGGAACCGTCTCTCAACTCGAAGCGCCCTGTTCTTTTACCACGCAGGTTGACTGCTCGAGCCATGGTTCCCTGAAACACCAACAGTGTTCGGGAACGCCATGTCATGCTGCACCGACGGACAAGCAGCCTCCCACACTGACTGATTGCGGGCAGGTAAGAGGTGACCACCGCACCTTTTCACTTTGTTGCTGCTGATAGTGGAACCGTCTCTCAACTCGAAGCGCCCTGTTCTTTTACCACGCAGGTTGACTGCTCGAGCCATGGTTCCCTGAAACACCAACAGTGTTCGGGAACGCCATGTCATGCTGCACCGACGGACAAGCAGCCTCCCACACTGACTGATTGCGGGCAGGTAAGAGGGGACCACCGCACCTTTTCACTTTGTTGCTGCTGATAGTGGAACCGTCTCTCAACTTGAAGCGCCCTGTTCTTTTACCACGCAGGTTGACTGCTCGAGCCATGGTTCCCTGAAACACCAACAGTGTTCGGGAACGCCATGTCATGCTGCACCGACGGACAAGCAGCCTCCCACACTGACTGATTGCGGGCAGGTAAGAGGGGACCACCGCACCTTTTCACTTTGTTGCTGCTGATAGTGGAACCGTCTCTCAACTCGAAGCGCCCTGTTCTTTTACCACGCAGGTTGACTGCTCGAGCCATGGTTCCCTGAAACACCAACAGTGTTCGGGAACGCCATGTCATGCTGCACCGACGGACAAGCAGCCTCCCACACTGACTGATTGCGGGCAGGTAAGAGGTGACCACCGCACCTTTTCACTTTGTTGCTGCTGATAGTGGAACCGTCTCTCAACTCGAAGCGCCCTGTTCTTTTACCACGCAGGTTGACTGCTCGAGCCATGGTTCCCTGAAACACCAACAGTGTTCGGGAACGCCATGTCATGCTGCACCGACGGACAAGCAGCCTCCCACACTGACTGATTGCGGGCAGGTAAGAGGGGACCACCGCACCTTTTCACTTTGTTGCTGCTGATAGTGGAACCGTCTCTCAACTTGAAGCGCCCTGTTCTTTTACCACGCAGGTTGACTGCTCGAGCCATGGTTCCCTGAAACACCAACAGTGTTCGGGAACGCCATGTCATGCTGCACCGACGGACAAGCAGCCTCCCACACTGACTGATTGCGGGCAGGTAAGAGGTGACCACCGCACCTTTTCACTTTGTTGCTGCTGATAGTGGAACCGTCTCTCAACTCGAAGCGCCCTGTTCTTTTACCACGCAGGTTGACTGCTCGAGCCATGGTTCCCTGAAACACCAACAGTGTTCGGGAACGCCATGTCATGCTGCACCGACGGACAAGCAGCCTCCCACACTGACTGATTGCGGGCAGGTAAGAGGGGACCACCGCACCTTTTCACTTTGTTGCTGCTGATAGTGGAACCGTCTCTCAACTCGAAGCGCCCTGTTCTTTTACCACGCAGGTTGACTGCTCGAGCCATGGTTCCCTGAAACACCAACAGTGTTCGGGAACGCCATGTCATGCTGCACCGACGGACAAGCAGCCTCCCACACTGACTGATTGCGGGCAGGTAAGAGGGGACCACCGCACCTTTTCACTTTGTTGCTGCTGATAGTGGAACCGTCTCTCAACTCGAAGCGCCCTGTTCTTTTACCACGCAGGTTGACTGCTCGAGCCATGGTTCCCTGAAACACCAACAGTGTTCGGGAACGCCATGTCATGCTGCACCGACGGACAAGCAGCCTCCCACACTGACTGATTGCGGGCAGGTAAGAGGTGACCACCGCACCTTTTCACTTTGTTGCTGCTGATAGTGGAACCGTCTCTCAACTCAAAGCGCCCTGTTCTTTTACCACGCAGGTTGACTGCTCGAGCCATGGTTCCCTGAAACACCAACAGTGTTCGGGAACGGCATGTCATGCTGCACCGACGGACAAGCAGCCTCCCACACTGACTGATTGCGGGCAGGTAAGAGGGGACCACCGCACCTTTTCACTTTGTTGCTGCTGATAGTGGAACCGTCTCTCAACTCGAAGCGCCCTGTTCTTTTACCACGCAGGTTGACTGCTCGAGCCATGGTTCCCTGAAACACCAACAGTGTTCGGGAACGCCATGTCATGCTGCACCGACGGACAAGCAGCCTCCCACACTGACTGATTGCGGGCAGGTAAGAGGTGACCACCGCACCTTTTCACTTTGTTGCTGCTGATAGTGGAACCGTCTCTCAACTCGAAGCGCCCTGTTCTTTTACCACGCAGGTTGACTGCTCGAGCCATGGTTCCCTGAAACACCAACAGTGTTCGGGAACGCCATGTCATGCTGCACCGACGGACAAGCAGCCTCCCACACTGACTGATTGCGGGCAGGTAAGAGGGGACCACCGCACCTTTTCACTTTGTTGCTGCTGATAGTGGAACCGTCTCTCAACTCAAAGCGCCCTGTTCTTTTACCACGCAGGTTGACTGCTCGAGCCATGGTTCCCTGAAACACCAACAGTGTTCGGGAACGCCATGTCATGCTGCACCGACGGACAAGCAGCCTCCCACACTGACTGATTGCGGGCAGGTAAGAGGTGACCACCGCACCTTTTCACTTTGTTGCTGCTGATAGTGGAACCGTCTCTCAACTCGAAGCGCCCTGTTCTTTTACCACGCAGGTTGACTGCTCGAGCCATGGTTCCCTGAAACACCAACAGTGTTCGGGAACGCCATGTCATGCTGCACCGACGGACAAGCAGCCTCCCACACTGACTGATTGCGGGCAGGTAAGAGGGGACCACCGCACCTTTTCACTTTGTTGCTGCTGATAGTGGAACCGTCTCTCAACTCGAAGCGCCCTGTTCTTTTACCACGCAGGTTGACTGCTCGAGCCATGGTTCCCTGAAACACCAACAGTGTTCGGGAACGCCATGTCATGCTGCACCGACGGACAAGCAGCCTCCCACACTGACTGATTGCGGGCAGGTAAGAGGTGACCACCGCACCTTTTCACTTTGTTGCTGCTGATAGTGGAACCGTCTCTCAACTCAAAGCGCCCTGTTCTTTTACCACGCAGGTTGACTGCTCGAGCCATGGTTCCCTGAAACACCAACAGTGTTCGGGAACGCCATGTCATGCTGCACCGACGGACAAGCAGCCTCCCACACTGACTGATTGCGGGCAGGTAAGAGGGGACCACCGCACCTTTTCACTTTGTTGCTGCTGATAGTGGAACCGTCTCTCAACTCGAAGCGCCCTGTTCTTTTACCACGCAGGTTGACTGCTCGAGCCATGGTTCCCTGAAACACCAACAGTGTTCGGGAACGCCATGTCATGCTGCACCGACGGACAAGCAGCCTCCCACACTGACTGATTGCGGGCAGGTAAGAGGTGACCACCGCACCTTTTCACTTTGTTGCTGCTGATAGTGGAACCGTCTCTCAACTCGAAGCGCCCTGTTCTTTTACCACGCAGGTTGACTGCTCGAGCCATGGTTCCCTGAAACACCAACAGTGTTCGGGAACGCCATGTCATGCTGCACCGACGGACAAGCAGCCTCCCACACTGACTGATTGCGGGCAGGTAAGAGGGGACCACCGCACCTTTTCACTTTGTTGCTGCTGATAGTGGAACCGTCTCTCAACTCAAAGCGCCCTGTTCTTTTACCACGCAGGTTGACTGCTCGAGCCATGGTTCCCTGAAACACCAACAGTGTTCGGGAACGCCATGTCATGCTGCACCGACGGACAAGCAGCCTCCCACACTGACTGATTGCGGGCAGGTAAGAGGTGACCACCGCACCTTTTCACTTTGTTGCTGCTGATAGTGGAACCGTCTCTCAACTCGAAGCGCCCTGTTCTTTTACCACGCAGGTTGACTGCTCGAGCCATGGTTCCCTGAAACACCAACAGTGTTCGGGAACGCCATGTCATGCTGCACCGACGGACAAGCAGCCTCCCACACTGACTGATTGCGGGCAGGTAAGAGGGGACCACCGCACC